CGGGTCCTGAAGAGGCCATAATCAAAGGGCTGGGGCACCTCTCCTATGAAGAAAGGTTGAGGGAGCTGGGCTTCTTTAGCTTGGAGAAGAGAAGGCAGTGGAGAGATCTTGTGGTCTTTCAGTACTTACAAGGAGTTTACAAGCAGGAGGGTGACCAACTTTTTGCACCGTTAGTGATAGATAAGCAGGAATGGCTTTAAAATATGAGGGTAGATTTAGACTAAGCATTATGCAGAGATTTTTTACTCGGTGGGTGGTGAGGCAGTGGAACAGGTTGCCCAGAGAGGTTGTGGATGCCCAGTCTCTGGAAGCCTTCAAGGCCAGGTCGAATGGGATCCTGGGCAGCTTGATCTGCTGGTTGACAACCCTGCCTATGGCAGGAGTATTGGAACTAGATGATCTTTAAGGATCTCTTCAACTTGAGCCATTCTATACTTCTATGTTATAATTCTATGAAAGATCATTTCAGACCCTGAGGTCTACACCCAGTCTGGGAGCAGCAGGTGAGGAACAAGGCAAAGAAGAAAATTTCAATGCTTTCACACACCCTATTGGAGCCCCAGGAGCCAGGCAGTCCTGTTCTCTCCAGGGAGAGATGGCATAAGCAAAGCCCTTCATTTGGAATTGCACTACGGAATTATAAAGGCCAAAAATATTTACCTCTGAGTGGGATTATTAAACAGCCCTCGGCTCAACAAAAAGGTACACAAGAAGTGAGGTATCTAACATCAATGCTGAGAGAACACGTTAATCCATGTGCTTATGTACATGACCCTCAACAGATTGTTATCTGTGTAACTTCCATTACTTAAAGAGAGTTCTCTGCTCTTTCCTGATGACTGCACTATATCCTCTGAGTAATCTAACCTTTTAAGTTGCTTTTTAACCAGAATTGTTTCTATTTAAAATGATGTTATTCTACAACTTCTTGGTACGATTTGTAGTAATTTATAATACATTCCTTCCTGACCTTATATGAATTGTCAGATTTTTCTTGGCATTGTGATGCTAAGCCAATATTCAGCCCCAGCCTGCAGGACTCTGGACACTGACAATGTCTATCTGTTTGTCCATTTTCCCCAGGCTCCCAGGACAGAGCTCTCTAGGCTTTGTAACCCCTGGCATTGCCAAGCTCTTCTCTCTGCCCTTCTTCTGCTTTCATCCATGGACTCCCCAAGCTGGAAAGTTGCCTGCTGCTTCCTTCTATATATTCACCAAATGAAAAATTAGTATCTGTCAAAGCATCAACAAGCTAATTGCAGTATTCACTGACTGTATCAGACTGTCTGTCATGGTCTCTCTCCGAGGTTCCCCTAGACTTTGAAACAAACGCACTGTTTCATAGAGAGTTTTGGGGCAATGAGCAGTGCCAACCAGCAGCAAGCAGGCTGCTCCCAGCTGCAAAGGGGAATTCTCTGTGCTGGTCGAGAGTTTTCACTCTGAGGCATGCGGAGGAGCTGCTTTTCTCTCTGTAGAGCCATCTTCACAGTGTGCTGAAGAACTCTCCTGCTGGACTCTCTGCTCCCGTTTAGCTGCTGGCTTGATGTTTCCTTTGAAAAAGCAGCTCTCTGTCTTCAATCTCTGATATATGGCTTGCCTAACTTTGTATCTGACTGCATCTGCAGAGACAGTTTTTAGTGATTTTATGTCTCTCTGCACTTTTGATTGGCAGCTTTTACAGTATGTAGGAGTGGCACAGAAGTTAATTATCCAGGAGAAATTGTTTCCGCTAAGCTCAGGCTTTAGTTGCTGATTTCCCTTTCTCTGACATTCTGGCACGGCTTTCTTTTTACATATTAGTGTCAGAATATGTCTTGCTTCTGGAGACCAGAGACCAGACATTCAATTCAGACCACCCCCTCCTGCATCCTTGCTGATGGTCCCTGCTTGTGTGGTCCAAACAGTGTAGATATCTGGGAAAATGTGAAGTATCTGTGGAGGATTATTTCCTTCATCTGCTTCTTGCTGTTATTCCCACAGACACAGGCAAGAGGCAAGGCTGCCTGTGACTGTGCCCAGAAGGGCCAGAGCCCTGGCTGTTGCCTGGCACAGGGCAGCTGAGCCCTCTGTCTGTGCCTGTGCATGGGCAGCAGTGCACTTGGCATGGCAATGCAGCATCTTCCCTGTCTCCAGGGAGGATGCTTCTTAGGAGAGCAGTTGAGCATCCTCCAGCATAGCTGGGAAGTTGTTCAAGTTACTGAAACCCTCTGGGACACAGTGAGATCTTGCTCACGCAAGCAGGAGCAAATCTTTTCTTGTAAAGGGTGGGTGCTTCGTGAGACAATGTACAATCTGGTCTGGAAAACACCAAAATTAGTCCATCAAGCATGGGACACAAGAAACACTGGAAGAAGTTTCTTGTTGCCAGCTGTGTACTCTGTATCTTAAGAGAAGAGACAGGGAGAAAAGCAGATTGTTTCAAAAGGACATAGCCCCAGATAATGTCCCCACTGGATGTGTGTGTGTCCCACTAACCTTCTGTGCCGGTGATAGCAATCCAAATAGGCAGACATGGACAGGAACACAAACACTAAATTAAAAGAAGACAAAGGACAGTGAGTCCTTTGACCTCTTTGAGATAAGGCAGCGATGCAGTGTCTCAGGGATTTATTTGGTGATGAAATTGCAGTGTTGATGTGTGCCTTGTGAAGCAGATCCTACAGAGGGTCAAATGTTTCTTTATCAATCCATCAATTAAAAATCAATACTGATATTTTTTTAATAAATAAACCAAGTGGGTCTCAGGATTGCCAGTAAGTAGGTATGAATTTTGACTTAATGGCAATAGTAAATCAAATTATTATGAAAACACAGTTGTACTCACATCGAGTTTTGTCTTGCCTCAGCCTTTGTTCTGTTGCTCTCTGAATGAACACCAATACATCACCCAAGGGCCCTTGGCCAGTGGCCCAGCTCCACACCCTGTTGCCTTGGCCGATCACCAGTGTGCTGTGTGGGCGACCAACCCTGAAACCACAGAAGCAGTAAAAAGTGCAAGTCCACAGGTGGGATTGTGTTTGTGCTTGGGAATCTGCTCTAGCTAGTAATCCCCTGGGAACAACTTTATCTCCTGAAGAGGTGACTAATATTGCCATTTAGAATAACAGACACTGGCTGTCATATTTTAACAGCTAAATGTGCAAGTCTTTGCATTAGGATGAGGAAATGGGTGTTTGAGGAGGCAGTGGATGTATTTCAATGTTTGCAGAGGTTTGCTTCACTGAGTGCGGATTCATAGGAGAAGCACTCCTTTAGTTTTCTGCCAGTCCCACAGCTGCAAACACAATCCACAGACCTGCTTCTGGCAAGGTATCTCTCTCCTGATATCCTCTTGCCTGCGCTTGCCTGCTCCTTCTGCCCAGCACTTATCTCCCTGGAACAGGTCAGCCAAGACTCACCATCTCCTCCTGCCTCAGCCTGCAGCCTTTCTAGTGCCTCATTCTGCTTACAAGTGGCCTGAGCTTCATGATGTTTTGCCTGCATGGCACACAAGTGTTAGCTGTGGTTTGCTGGCTGGGATGCTGCCTTGCTGCTCAGCATCTCAGTGGAATCACCTTCAGCCTGTTTTCTGTTTTAGCCCTGATAAATGGAGTCCTCTGCTTTCTGCTGCTGTCACTGGGCAGTGCCAGCTTTACAGCAGTAGGATCAGCTGCGTTTTGCCAAACACATTGCAGCTTCCTTGTTCTCTCTTGCTAGTGAAGTGAATAGCCAATAACTGTGACTCATGATGGCTCTCTAAAAACCACAGGTTAATTATTCATCATTAGTTGTAACCATTTGTGGTAGAAAAGGTGATGACTTTTGAAGGGAGGTGAAAGGTGACTAAATGTTTCTATTGTTGTTGGTCTCGGTTCTGCTCCGCTCTGCTCTCAGTGGTTTTAGGAGGCCAGTTCCTGCTCAGGGGTGACCATGGCTCTTACATGAGCTTTATCACTCTGTCCCTTCCTTCATGCATGCAGGGAGTGGGAAACAAAGGGAGTATGTGGTGGCCACCTCTGCAGTTCATGCAGTAATGTGGCTCAAACATAAGATGTAGTAGCAGTGGAGATCGCTTTAATATCCTACATTGTCAGTAATCTCTGGCTGATGACTGTATTCTGTGTAAGGGTTCTTGTGAAATGGCCAATGAGAGACAGACCATGAAGTCCCCGTTAGTTGGGACAGCAGAGCCCTGTCTCTCAAGAGCCATGGATTTTCTCCAGAAACTTCCAGATCCTACCACAGGTGATTTTGAGGGATGAGTCAAAACCTCAGTGTGCTAATCTGGTCGGTCAGATTTGTAAGATGTAACATAAGCACCATCTACAAGCTGCTACAGAAACTTAACAACCCAATAGCAAAAAATTAATGCTTATCTATGCAAGAGACTTTGAGCTTTGTGGAGACAGGGATCACAAGACTGAAGCTGATGATACAGAAACTATAGAAACTTGGTGAGTTAATCTCACAAGTCATTAAGCTCTGGAATTGAATTGTTTCAGCCTTTATTTCAAGACAAGTGTGTGTTCATGTCAGTCTAGGTCAACTTCAATGTGCAGCGTGTGAAATGCCCCCTCCTGCTCTGAGCAGGAAGGTTGATCCTTTCTGAGGGACAGATCTGTTAGCATTGAGGCTTAGTCTCTCAGTTGGTGTAGCACCCTGCAGGCACCCTGCAGGCACAAGCCAGCCTGCAGCTCAGTCCTGATGGAAGAAGCTGCTTCTCAGCACTCAGTGGAGTCACTGCTTTAGCCACAGAGGTTTCCTCCACGGAGCTGAGGAGGTGTGTGTATAAAAGGTGCCAGAAATAGTATAATGTGCATGGAAATGCTCACCAAAGTCTGGAGGATTTCTGAAGCTGCCTTTGACACCTGTGTCTGCAGAGGTGGTTGCTGAGGAGTTGATCAGAGCAGGAAAGCTCTGTGGCATGGGGAAAATCTGCAAATGGAGTTTAGTTCTGACAACCTGAAGTTGCAACCCTTCCCTTTGGATGTTTCTAAGAAATAACATTCTCATGCCTATAGTATAAATACATAAATACCTTTAATAATAGACTTTGGAGCGTACAGTCAGCGAGGAGATGCTGAAATGTTGCTGGGGTTCACTGGAAGCCAGATGGTCAACTTGTCCTTAAAATCTGCCCTAGTTCAATCAGAAATGCCACAGCTGCCTGCTGTGCTCAGGGCACAGACAGTGTTGTCCTCAGTAGCTGCTGTCTGCAACATGGGCTCCTGGTCCAGTGGCCAGGAACAGCCTGTCTCTGGATTCTGGCAGAAGCCAGGCAGGGTACATATGATGCACAGATGTGTCATGGAAGTTGGGTTGTGAACCTCTTTGTGGTGCACACCTTCATAGCAAGACTCTTCGGGCCTATCCGGTCCTCCCTGAGGAGATGTGCAGACCTTCGGGTTCCACTTGGTCCGTCAGAGAGAAGTTACCAAGTGAAAGGCCTTCATGCTTCTTCCCAAACTTCATGTACCTGGATCACTTTTGGGTTGAGCCATTCTGTGTGTGTGTTTTTGAGGGAGATTCTCCTTCAGACTAACACCTCTGAGACCTGGCATCAAGATGTAAACATCCTACCTGACACATGGCTCAGGATCAATACTCTGCAGACAGCTGGGATGGCCTGCGAGCCTTCTCTCTCATAGCTGCTCCTACAGATCCCAAGGTAGCTGCAGGACCTTCCTGCAGTCCAGTTGAGTCCTGTTAGCTTCTTTTGGAAGCCCACCTTCCCTTTATGGCCTTTACCTGCCAGAGAGCATTTACCCAGTTCTCTGCAAAGGCAGTATCTTCCTGGCGTATCTTCCTGATTTAGCACTTAATTTTAGCAAATATACAGCGCGTTTGTATTATATACAGGTACTGCCAAGTGACTAGAGACACCCAGGGTTTCTCTGAATATGAACGAAGCTCGGATACATTTCTTTGGCTTTCATCTCTGTTGTCCTCAATGGCTTCACACACCCCTTTGTTGAGTGTTAGAAGGATCCATCCTAGCTGCGTAGAGCTCCAAAGAGATGCGTGCGCTATATGAAGCCTGTTTGCATTGTGATTTATCTGCACCCCAGCTGAGGCTTTCCACAGCCCCAAGGAGGGAGTCTGCCTGTACAAGTACAGCCTGGGGAACAAGCCTCCTACGTTCAAATGGATCAGTAGGAAAAGCTGTACTTTATGTTTTATGTTTCATGCCTTCATCTATGAGTTGCAAAAAATGGGATTTAGTAGAACAAGGCTAAATGTCAAATGCTGGATTGTGGCGTTCGAGCTGGTTGACAGGATGATGTTATTTTCAGCAAACAAGTAGAGTATCGTGATGAGATCTACCGCGTTGCTGCTGTTCTGGACATCTCGCTCCCAGAGGGGTGGGGCATTCTTGTTTTCTGTATTCTGCATCATCAGCTTCAGTGAGCCCTTCTCCAGGTCAGGAGAAAAAACACCCTTTAGGGACACCACATAGAGGCCATCACAGGGGATCACGATGGAGCCATTTATGACAGGAATGGAGGTAAATTCAGCACTGAGATTCATGGCCACTCCTGCAATGCTTTGGCCTGGAACAGAAGAGAGAAAAGATGATCCCATTAAGACAAATATATTCTTGATAGAAGGCAGTTTTGTACAGACTACCTGCAGGTAGGGTGGAAAAAGCATAGGAAAGGAAGAGACTGAACTAGAGAATGGTGCAGACTGGAGCTAGGTTATCATCTGTGCTAGACATACTTGATGTGCAGTGAAAGTTTTCAAGTTCCCATTCCTGAGCATGCTGCACCTTTTGGACTGCAGCTCCAGTTTGTATGAATAATTTCCCCAGGTTTCTGCTTATATATTATTTATTTACTCTATTAATTAAGACATAGAAGTAAAGCATTCCTGTGAGTTTAGGAAATATGGATTCCTCAGAGAAACAGAAAATAAAAGCATCATATAAGAGGAGGGAAAAGTTATCCAAGCTGGAAGGAAGGGAAAAAGAGCTTTCTCTGGAGATGTGGGTAAAAAAAATCCCTGCCTTTGTTCTTGGATCCTTTTGGAGAAAGTAGGATGAAAGAGCAGTGTAGACAGAAACAGAAGGAATAAATGAACACAGAGCAGAATCCGGAGAAATTAAAACTTTTCTATGAAAGGTTTTCTCTGGGAACGATCAGTATCAGTTCCCAGAGTTTTGCTAGAAATGTTCTCCTGCTGTGCTGTGCACCACACAGGGGAGGCTGATGATAAATCATCGTCATCAGGTCTCTGTCTGCACAACACAGCCCCGTTCTGCAGCGGGCAGACTTCCCAAGCTTTTTCTCTAACATGGCTTCCTGTTAGGTTAGACTGTCGGCCACCATTGTAATATTCACCAAATGCGCAAACGTTTTCATTGTGACTTGAAAATTTGAGTTGTTGCTCCTTTTGCTGAGGTGTGGCATGGGGCAAAGCATGCAAAGTACACGGTGCGCTGAGCGCTGCTGTTTCTGCCACCATGTGTATGCTCATTTTTCTCCAGGAAATCATTTGCATTTTTCATAAATCAGGAAATCATTTACTTGTTTCAGAAATACCCCAAGAGGGTACTGTGTATGCTCAGTAAATTCTCAAAAACACGTTTTCACAGAATCACAGAATGGCTGGGATTGGAAAGGACCTCAAGGATCATGGAGCTCCAACCCCCCTGCCACATGCAGGGCCACCAGCCTCCCCATTTCATACTAGACCAGGTTGCCCAGGGACCCCATCCAATCTGGGCTTGAACACCTCCAGGGATGGGGCATCCACAACCTCTCTGGGCAGCTGTTCCAGCACCTCACCACTGCCATGGTAAAGAACTTCTCCCTGACATCCAATCTAAATCTTCCCTGCCTCAACTTAAAGCCATTTCCTCTCATCCTGCAGTTATCAACCCTTTCAAAGAGTTGGCTCCCCTTGTTTCTAGGCTCCCTTGAGGTACTGAAAGGCTGCAATGAGGTCACCCCGCAGCCTTCTTTTCTCCAGGCTGAACAAGCCCAGCTCCCTCAGCCTGTCTTTGCAGGGGAGCTGCTCCAGTCCCCTGATCATCTTTGTGGCCCTCCTCTGGACCCTCTCCAACAGCTCTCTGTCTTTCTTGTACTGGGGCTCCAGACCTGGACACAGTACTCCAGATGGGGCACCACAAGAGCAGAGTAGAGAAAGCCAATCACCTTCCTGTCCCTGCAGGCCACCCCTATTCTGATGGAGCCCATTATACCATTTGCTTTCTGAGCTACAAGAGCACGCTGCTGGCTCATGTTAAGTTTTTCACCCACCAAGACCCCCAAGTCCTTCTCTGCAGGGGCTACTCTCAAGGACTGCTCCTTCCAGTCTTTTTGTTTTGTTGTTTTGTTCTTTAATGGAATGAATGCTTGTTTTAGTATGTAAGTATGGACAGCAGAAAGCTCCTCCAATTTCTTGCGTTTCATCCCGTAGAGGAAAAGCTCATTGATTAGTTTTGTACATCGTGGCACTATTCCTCTTTCCTCTGCTCTCCTGGCCTTGTCCTCCACCAACACCACAGCACCAGGCACTTGGGCTACGAGAGCCCCCAGACAACATGGGGATCCATTTGGGAACTGGGACAAGTGCCCCAGAGCACCAGGAGACCCCCGGCTGGCTGCCCACCCACCTGTGTACCGGATGAAGGTCCACTTGACTTTGTCACTGTGAGGCTGAAAAAATAAGAAGAGAAAAAAATCTATGTTAATGCCCCTGGGTCCCATTGCTTCTGCCAGTTTTGCTTTCATTTCTGTTCTGGGAACAGGACGCTGCTAGCCAGCTATGCACCTTGCTTGCGCATACTGCCATTATTATAAAGTAAAACTTTAGAGTAATTCCCAGCCAATCCAACCTTCATCCAGCAGCTGAGCACACCAGGGACATATGGTCCTGCCTGGAAAAACATCTTGGTGAGCGTGATGAAGGTAGACAAAGCAGGAAGGACCTTGGGGTGCAGAACCTCTCTGCATGGCTGCTTGAGTGCAACTGGCAGCTGGGGATGCCTGCCCACAGAGCTGGATGTGCCCTGTCTGTCACCCTCGTGCTGCAGGGCACCAAAAGGTGGCTCTGGCTTTGTAGGCTCAGAACAAGTGCTCTCGGTGCATTCTCTGCACTCCGGGTCAGGCTGTTGCAGGATGCAATGCTCCCAGTGGCTCCCTTAGAAGTGCATTAAGGCATGTTTAAAATCGGTTTGCATTTTACATGTATAACAGAAAAAGTGAATGCAAATAGAGAAGTGGGCATTTTAATGATCAGATATGCAAAGCACCAAGCTGCTGCATTAGATTTTTTTAAAATCTGAACTTAACATCTCTAACACATCTCTCATCTAAACCACAGGAGGCCCAAATCTGCAGTGTCTTCACAACCACAATTCTTCAATATCTTGCCTGACTTAAGAGTGACAGATTAAGCTGGCTGCTGTGTTTTCTTCTCTGCCTATGCTATGGGTTTTCAAAGATGTGTCAACACGCTTCTGACCAGCTATCTTTTATATTTTTTACCCCATCTGTTACAGAAACAGCAGCAGTCTCCTCACTGTGAGCATGTAAATAGTGTTGGAAGTAGCAGACTCGAGGGTGAGCACAGACAGACATGCCGACCCGTGGATCCAGTGCTGCACCCTGGCAGAAGCAAGAGGGCAGGGAAGGTGTTTAGAGTGGCAGCCTGCTGTGCTGTATGTGCTGAAGCATGAAGAGGGTGCTGGCAGTGGGAAAGGTCTGCTCTGGCACCCTCTAGTGCTGTTACAGCTGATGTAGTGCTTGAGAGGCTGGATGCAACTACCGAAGACAAGCTTTTATTGTGTCATCGCTATCTGGTGCCAGATAGAACATTACTGATCCTATCCATCACTGTAGTGGCTTGAGGCTACACTTATTATGTTTCTAGGTGCCCAAATGTACAAGCATCTCACCCTTTGACTCAAGCAGCTGAAATTTCCAGGTAGTTTCCCAACAAAATAGCTAAGTGCAGAACTGCTGAGCTTCTGAGGTCGTGCAACATCCATTGCGAGCTGTCCAGTCTGTCTGTCAGTGGACAGGGTCTGATAAAACACGTGTTTGGGACGAGCTTGTGGCAATTCTAAAAAATCAGCCCCACTGTCACTAAGGCTCTTTACATGTTTGGCAGATCTTTGGTGAAGTCTTGAAGGATTTCATTATCAATTAATCTAATAAATTTTAGGTGACTGTGCACTGAAAGTGAGTTGTATGCCAGGATTGTGACTATATCTTTCTCATCTACTTTAAACCTCTGTAAAATTACTTCCCCTGCACCTTTTCCTGCTCTGTTCAAGCAAAACCATCTTGCAATAGGTCACTAGGAGCTGTTGAGCTGCCAGTGCCATTTATTTTGCCTGCATTCATCACTAGGGGGTTTCACACCCTCTGACTATACCTGCAAGCAGTCTGCCCTTGGTCTTTCCCAGCTGGCTCAGCAGAAGGAGGTAATTTCAGCAGAGATGGGAAGTCACAAGCACTGCATACACACAAGTTACTATTGTTAATAGTTGCTCATTTGGAGGACACAGCTGAGGCTTGCTCTCCTAGCCACATGGTGATACAAACCAGCTTGCTGTACATTTTTGTTAAGCATGCTCTGTTGTGCAGATTCTCTCATTCTTGAACATGTTTCGTAACATTATTTATACTGTGTCTTTGCTGAGTAGTCCAGTGGGATTTAGGGATTTGTGAGGACAATGGAAAGTAATCAAACATGGTCTTTCTATGAAAAAGCACAGCTACTATCTAACTATTACAATTAGCATGGCACTGTCCTGCTATGGAGCTTCCCAAGAGCAGGAACAGCCTCTTGGTCACTGCCAGGCTCCAGCTCTCTGGGCCTGCCACCCAGATGGTGCTGTGCCCTCCCTCCCAAGTCTGTCTCCCTGAACTGCCCCCAGAGTCAGGTCTGATTAGCACTGCTCCCTCTGCTTTTTTAAGGTGAGTCCATGGTTATCCTACAAAGCCCTGTAATTCTCATGTGATAAAAGCCCCCCAGGGTATATAGCCCATGAGACCTCTCCCACACAGTGTGCCCTGTCAAACAGAGCACTTGGTGCTTAAAATAGTGGGAACAGGTTTTGAGCTTGCAGCGGCTGCTGCTCCTTGAGCACCCTGTTTCAGTCATTTCTATTGGGGAGGGAAACTCCAGGCCTGCATGTCCTCTCCTCATCAGCTTCTGTCTAGGATTTGTAAGGCTGACAGGCTGCGCTGCCATCTTTCTCAGGTGGCAGAAGACTCGAGTTTACATTTTTACAGAGCAGAGAACTCCTGAGAGTTGAGGGCTTGCAACCAGAGTGGGACCCTAGAGAGGTTTCTGTGTTTCATAGACTCATAGAATTGTTTGAGTTGGAAGGGATCTTTAAAGGTCATCAAGCTCCAATCCCCTGCACTGAACATACAGCTCCATTAGGCGCTGAGAGCCCCATCCAGCCTGACCTTTAATATTTCCAGGGATGAGGCATCCCCCTTTTCTCTGTGCAGCCTGTGCCTGAACCTCACTGCCCTTATCACCACCCTTATTCAAGCAGGGCACCACAGCTTCCCCATCTCCATTGGCTTTAAATGCAACTTCTCAAAAAAAAAAAAAAAAAAATAGTAGAAGACTGAACTGAATGAAATGTGTTATCTCTTAGTGTTATCAGTGACATCACTGTAAAATTTAACAACTGCTGTGAGGTACAGGACAGTGAAATTTGCTCAGAGCATGAGTGTTTTCATTGCACAGCAAAGCACCTAGAACATCAGGCCGTCTCTCCCTTGCAGTGTCATATGCCTGGCTTGCTTCTCTGTCATGTCTAAGTGAGAGGACAGAATGAACTCTGGTAACATGAAGCACAACACACTTCAAAGTAATCACTGCTCCTGGAGATGTGGGAGGGGTAGCTAGTGCATAAGCAGCACTGAAATAGCAGTGAAATCTTGTTGATAATCCTCTAGTCTGCAAACGTGTGAAAGAGGAAAATGTACTTGCTGCAGGTTTACTAAAAGTTTACAAATCTCAAGCATCTCAGTTAGGCATATTGTCTGCAGTATGTAAATGAAACCCTCTGGTCTCATATTCAGCATTTTTCTCTCGTGTAGACACACACAGGCTTGAACCGTCCTCTGCAAATACAGATGGCTGTTCCCAAAGCCCAGTGTGCATGCAGCCTGGGAGCACTGTAGGGTTTCCAGATTCTTGCTAGAGCTGTCACAGGCTAGCTTGCATTCTGACATATCTACCTGCATATATAGTATATTTTAAAATTCAGGAGAAGTTTATAAGCTACCTGGTTTCTGGTCCTTCATTTTGCACTTAATAAAAGTAACTATCCACTCAGACAATCTCAATTAAAAGAGCATACACAAGTCACTGCAAGTCAGCTCACTAGCAGCTGATGAGGTGGTGGGGCTGGAGTCATGGGGGGACAGACCTCTTCCAAGGGTGCTGCTGCACAGTGCATTCCTGGAACCATCCCACTTCTTGACAGCTTGTCCCCCAGCCCTGAAGTTGGTGACACGGGGCACTATTGTGAGGACAAGAGGTATAAGAAAGGTGTGAGAATTATTAGGAATGCATCAGAACCCTACGGCTAGAATAGGGATAAACCTTTGTCTTTGCTAACGAAGCCCCATACTAAGTTCTACAGGCCAGAAGACAATGGGTTGAACAAGAGCTCTTACCGTCCAGAGTTGCAGAGAATCTGTACCAAGGTAAATCAAGCAGGCAAGCAGTAATATCCACTGAGTGGCTGCAGACACGAGGTACAGCGTGTTCCTCTTAGCCTGTCCTTTTTGCCAGCCCTTCCACTCATCATCACTCACGATGCCAGCAGGCTCCTTTTCACAGTCCTTCTGATCGTTGTGCTTTCTCAATTCCGTATCTGACTGTTCTTCCATCTCTGCCAACAGGGCAGGGACGAGGAGCACAGGAGGGCCTGTGGAGCACAAAGCGGATGAGATAGGTGCTCCTGCCCCAGGAGCAGAAATGAAATGAACACGCTGCCTTCAGGAGAGGGTTTTATGTGCACAGAGGCAGGCAGGGGAACTTCTTTGTGACTAATCTGAATTTCCCCTTCCTTCTTTCTTTCTTTCTGTCTTTTCTTTATTCTTTTTTTTTTTTTTTTTTTTTTTTTTTTTTGTGAATGTGGGGGCTGGTTTGTTGCATCCCAGTTCAGTTTTGAGTAAGGGCCTTTGAATGTAGATGTGTTTATGTGTTTATGTCTTTCATAGTTTCAGCTGTGGATCTCTTGATATGTGATGTTTCCAATGGTAGCTAAGAGTTGGATGGACACTGATCTCTCTGAGCAGTCTTTTGACAGTAAAAGCTCTCATCTTTCTGTTCAGCTGCAGGTTGGGGGTTTACAGAGCGCTGGCTGCCTGCCTGGTTTGTAGAGTATGATGCTGCTGAAATCTCTTTTCTGTAAAGAAGTAATTAATAGGAGGGAATATCAGACAAATGGAAGACATGAAGAATTGGAGACAAAATATGTCCTTTGTCTTCACCTTTGTCTTCTACCTTTAAGGCCATGGGATGCTGCATGAAACTTATGAGAGAGAAAATGGAGAACTGCTCATGGAGCATCCCTGCACCCTGCCCCTACAAGTGAAGGGACAGCCCTGGGCCATCAGGCTTCCCTCCTGGAAGATCACTGCCTTTTGGGACGCTGAAAACTTGAAATGCAAATCCAGTTTTTCCTATCTGTCCAAGGGCCTGTATTACATGTTCCTCTGCCGCCTCTCCTCCCAACACTCCCCCTTTGCTTAGTCTTCTTGTGACACTCGCATGTGATGTGTGAGTTGATACATGACAGTTGTCTGCAGCAAGGGCCATCTCCTGAGCATGTTTTGGGTGACAAGATGCAAAGCCTCTTTGGAGGCTGTCCACCACTGCTTTCTGTCACTCTTTCAGACACATTTTTTTTTGTTGTAAATCAGCATATCGTGACCAGAGTCAGGTGCTACCTTCTCCCAGTGAGGATCAGGCCCATTGGGAGTGTTACAATGCATTCATCTGTCAGGTATGAGCTGTCAGAAGTTTCCCTTCCCCAAAATGTTCTCTCTTAACTTGTCAACTTGTCACAAGGCACATGTCCTGACAAACATGTACTCTGCATGCAGAGAAAGCAAGAATAAAGTTTTTTTCATATGGGTTTTTTTTTCCATTTAAACAAGGATATTTCTTATAAACATGATTGAACAAAGGATGGAGTGCAGCACTTGGGTGAGCAAACTTCTATGAGGACACACAGCTCCTCAGTACATTTATTCCTGAGAAATAAACTCAGTTGGCAAAAGCTGGTAGATTGAGTCAGGAATACACTGGTATTTGTCTTAAGAGCAGGCCAGAAGTCATGAAAACTTACTTAAAAAATGCTCAATTTTAAAATTTTCTGTTACTTCTTGGGTGCATGGGAATTCCTGTCCCACTTCTGCCAGCAGCTGCTCACTGGGGCATACTCAAGCCCCACGCTGAACCCCAGCTCACCAAGAGGTCCAGGAACAGCTCTAACCCTCTTTCCTTGTCCCAGATATGACTGATGCCATGGTGAGGAGAAGTGATGCTGCCTCTGAGAAGTTCCCTCTGACCTAGATGGCATTGCTCCCAGCACTGAGCTCAGGTTTAGCCAAGACCTGAAGAGGAGCAAGGCAACACTCTGTGGTGCTGCAGAGGCCCACTGAAGCTGTGGGGACACGGAGAGGGAGGTTGTTTGTTCCTGCAAGTCTGCAACATCCTATCTCATCTACCTGCTTCCATGAAAGGTCCCCAAGAAACAGGCTCCGTGTTTCCAGCCATGGTGTCCATCCGTAACAGGCTTAGTGAAGAGATTTATTAATCTTAGTGTGTCTTCAGAATAGCTTTCCAGTGGGGAAAAAAATCTACCTCTGGGTCCTTCCCCATGACACTATTTTCAGCCAGCTGCAGCTCCTGGCCATGGCGGCCAGGAAGCTGGGACCAGGCTCTACTGATGCCACAGGAATGGCTGCAAACATCTGCACCTCCTTGTGCCCTGAGGTGCCTGCTTTGGGCACGGCTCAGGGCAGGTGCCCATCACTCGCAGTCCCCATGGCAGAAGCAGGGAGGAGCACTGTGAGGCAGGCTTGTCCAGAACCTGTGCTCCTACCTGTAGCGAGAGCCATCAGCAAGGGGCTGCAGAGGCAATCAGCACAGATCTGGTATAGGCTGCCAGTGAGCCTGGCAGTGGTTCAGTGGGGAATCACTGAAAGAGAGAGTAATCTTTACACCACATCTGCCTTCCTGGAAGAGTAGGCACTGCCATGTACCAGAGTAGCTCTGCCAGATGCAGCAGCCCGCTCTCTCCTATTGGCCCTCCAAGGAAGGAAACTGTTTCACAGTTGCTGCTTGGTTTCTACAAAAATACTGGAGATGCTAAGACATTCCAAACCAGCGTGACCCCATAATGCTCACATTCTGTTATGTGCTTTTGATCCAGACACAATGTCTCACTCATCTCCCTTCCCACTTTGGATATTGCACTGGTTTTGTTTCTAAAAGAATGTACCCTGAAAATGTGGGTGGAGGTTGTGCATATGTATGTCTGAAATTGCTCTGTCATTTCTGTACTCCCCCAGTGCAAGTGTTGCTTAGCCTGGGTTAATAACACAGGCGGCACTGAGGATCGAAAGCTGCATTTCAAGTAATGTATCTGGCATTGTGTCCGAAACAGGAAAGAGGACAGCTCATTCTGTGCCATCATGAACAATGATGCACAAACTACCTTCCGCGGTTTTAATTGCCTTCATCTTGTCCGCCTGCCTTGCATATTGAAACCCAAGTGCATGCAGGGTTGGTGGTTTCAAATACTTGCTATGAGATCCCCTGCTTGCACTCCCACAGGAAATCTTCCTAGCTTCTGGTTTCTTTGTCATCCCAGTCATTTTCCAAAGACATGCTTCCTGCTGGTACTGACAGCAAAATTATTCCTGCCAGAACTGATGGCTAAACCTTGGCTAACGCATATTGACCATGGTTGAGGCTCAGTCCTGCAGTGTCACCCCTCTACCAGATCTTGAAGCTGCTACCCATCAGCGTCCCCATGCCATGAGGCTGCTATACTCCAGCCCGTGGGATGAAGCAAAGAGCATCCTCACCATAAAATGCAGCTCCTGGCCCATTGGGAGCATTGCACATATGTGAGGGCTCTTCTCCAAGGCCTGGGAGACCCTGCAGGCACCCTTCCCAATTCTGATCCTATTTCCTGGGAAAGTACTCTTAGAACCCCAAAGGAGGAAACTGGGAGTTACATGGGTCAGATGAACTTCTCAGAAGAATAGGAGAACAACTGATTGAACTGTTTATAAACATCTAGAAAGAAAAAGGAAATGAGAAGCAACCAGTGTGGGTTTCCAGGAACAAAAGATAAAGTTGTCTTGTGAGGGATAAGAAAGTCTCGGGCACAGGAGTAGCTGTAGGAATTTGTGGTGTCTTTGGTAAGAAGTTTGACTCTTTTTTGTTACACTGATGATTAAAGATCTGTATGAAATCACTGCTAGACAGAAGCAGAGCAAGTTGAGTGATTATTGATGGTTTGGTGACAAAATGGAAGGACCTGTCCTAAATTCAGCACCTCTCTGCAGTTCCAGAGCTCCAAGTGTTTTGAACACAGTTGACTGTGAGCTTGGCAACACTGATGCTCCTTTTGAGGCAAGGTATCTCAGGCACTTTCTGGCTCTTCTCAGTAGTCTTTGGCTCTAATTTAAAGGGCTGGCATCTACTTGGAGCGCAGTGCTAGCAGAGATCTGCTGTTGCTCTCGTTGGTGCCATCAGGTAGTACAACTTATACCCAGTGCTGTCCTTTCATGTGCAGTTCCTTATTGTCCACCGACAGCTATCTTTACCTTGGGGGTCTTGGCTCATGCAATCTGATGAAGCAGAATAGCAGGAAATAGCAACTGAAGACTCGTAGTTGTGCAAGAGTGTAGCAGAAATGCTAAGTCACAGCATGAAGCAGTGATTGAGCACCTGGTGGGAAGGCAGGGCCAACCCAGGGGAGTTCAGGTGCGTGCAATGAACCTGAGTGACCTGAAGGGCTGGAGCCAGGATCCACACATTCCCAGGCCTCATTTAAGGGCTGGCAGTGGAGGTGAGGGTATCTTGCTGGAGATCTGTGCCTACCTGAGACCTTCCAAAGGTAAGCAGTTTTTTTCTTCCTTTGTTTCTGCACCCATAGCTGCTGCATTTAGGTTTGTTCTTCTTTGCTGTAGGGTTGTGTCACTCTGCTATTATTGCTATTCTTTCAATCATGTTATAGCATTACAAAGAGAAAAAAGCAAAGCATAGGACAGGCAACATTTTCTTCCAGGTCTAGCTGCTCAGCATGTGCCTTATCTAGTGCTCTTTTAATGCTTTCAGGATTAATTGAACTGAGCCAGTCCTACTTATCAAGGTAAATGCATTTAACCCCAGAATATTGTGCACTCCTGCTTCAGTGTCTTGCAACCATATGAACTATTTTCCATGCTTTGGTTTTGTTCTCATGTGACATTTTCATGCTCCTCACTTACAGCCACTCTTTGGCTGCTAATGCTCCAAGAATTTCTGCTAGCAGAGGCATTGGGCCAGGAGGTTGTATGATTCAGACAGTTTTTTGGCAGTGAAAAGCAGAGGAGGAAACTGTGGAAACGCTGTGAAATTCATGAATCAAATCCTGGGCATCTATGGCTTGGTGCCATTAAGAGTGGAAAAGATCTCTAAGGTCATCAAGTCCAATCATCCAACCACCAATCTATGCCTGCTAATCCATGTCCCTCCATGCTGCATCTCTGTGGTTCTTGAATGCCTCCAGGGACAGTGACACCAACGCCTCACTTCAGAGCGCTGTGCTGGGATCTTTCCAAGTAAGTAGCGGGGTGAGTAGCACCCCTGTGGTTCTACTGCTGCATGTAAACATGTTCCCCAGGACTGCCACAAGGGTTGTTGTAATCCCTTGGTGAGGAGAAGGCTCTTTTTCAAGAGGATGGTTGCATAAGCCCAATTCCAAGAACTGGCTGCGCTAAACACAGAAAATCCAGGCAGGATTAGGGCTTCTGATAGTGCCAGCGGGTTTTCCCAACCCTTAGGGACTGTGGTGTGCCCAGCACAGGCCATATAGCATCTGCAGCAGAGCTACATGTTTAATGGCAACATGCTACCGTCGTCTCATGGTGCTGAGCTCCCAGTGGACCAGAGTGCAGTCCTGTGCAGTCTCAGAGCTGGGGGAGGTCAGTATCCCCTCACCATGAGCAATGGCATGTTACAGCAGAGCTGTGAGGTTTTAAGGCCAGCTGTACCACTTCTTTACTTTTTTTTTTCTTTTTTTTTTTTTTTTTCCCACCAGAAGAAACTTTCCAGGTTGATGGTGACCTTTGCCTTGAGCATTATCTCTTTCCAGTGAGCCCCTGTGGATTTTGCTACTGTCTCTGAGTGGACTTCACTCACCATGACTTCAACTGAGTGGGCAGGGGCTGAGTGTTTGCTCTGGCACCTCTGAAAGGTTGAGGTGAACTTAGTCATACCAGTTTTCCTTCCTGTTCCTCAGTAAGAAATCACGCCCATAGCATTAGATTGTAAAATAACAGGAGACAAAAGTCAAATAAATCTTTCAATATCTTTCTAGAGAAGAGAAACAATTGATGCCAATACTAATAAAGATAAAGCTTCCACTTAAAAAACGCAGGTTCTTGCGTAGAGCTGCTGGGCTTGGCCAGTTTTCTCCCAGTGAAGCTTCCAGTAGGGTTGGACACCCCAGGAAGGGATGTGCAGCCAATGATGCTCCATGTGCATCCCTGTCCTGGAAAGAGTTAAAGATGTGGCTTCTCTTGCTTATCTAGTGCTGTCTTCATCAGTCTGTCTGCTTCCCTTTATTACTCCTATGGGAGTTTTTTGTTTCTAAAACTCTCCCCTTGAAAGTTGCAGCTCCTGATTCTTCCAGTGGGTCTCTAATATTGCATTAAACAGTTGGAGAAGTGTAGGATGAATGTTCCTGTCCCAGCTAAACCACTGGGAACACCTGTGTAGTGCTATTTCCTACTTCAAGACATGAGTCCATGTGTCTTTTCACAGCTATTTTATTGGGATCAGACAGCCAGCCTTTTCTAACCAGCATACATGTAATGCCATTGTATGTGCCTCTCAAGATCATCACCCAGTAGTCATAGGACTTCAGGGACTAAGTCAAAACCAGGTGTCAACAGAATTATGTTGACCACATAACGCTATCTTCCTCACGTACATTATGAACTCTTTTCCCTTTTTTGTTTTCTAAGTATTGCTTTATCATTTTTAACAGTTATCAGATTAAACGTCTGCCAAAATTGTTTCCTTCGTAAACACTTCTGAAAGAGCTCTTGATTTTTTTTTTATTTTTTTTTTTATTTTTTTTTTTTTTCCATCCACAAACAGTTACTTTTTTTTTTTTTTTTTTTTTTTTCCCATCTGGTCAGCTTAGCTCATAACTTTCCCCAGTTTATATTAGATCTGATGAACCATCTGGTGCCTATATTACTGTCTGGGACTGCCCTCTGTTTGCTCACACTGACCATCATCAGACAGCAGTCACTACTTTCTGAGCAACTGCCACCTTCAGAGAGAAATTACCTTTCTTTGCCCTGAGAAGCACCTCATGCAGCCTGTCCTGCTGCTGCAGGCACATGGTGGGAGTGGGCACCAACCTTGCTCAGCCTCAGCAAGGCAGCACAACCTTCTCACTGGTGGCTTTCTCTTTTATTCTTCACTCCTTTTATTTATGAAAGATCCAATTGCCTAAATGCAGCTTGAATGGGCTGGGGAGTTTTTACCCCAACAATATCCCCATAAGGCATAATCTTTCACCTTTGGGACAGATTTTAAAGCATATCTCAAGCGAATTGCACGCTTGGTGTGATGTGAACCTCACAGGCAGAGCAGCCAGTATTTCTCAGGTGCCATATATCTCTTGCAGAACTACACAGTGAGCAGCTCCGATGCTGCACGTTGTGCTGGGCAGGACCCCAGCTGCTTGCAGGAACATCCCACAGCTGTGGTGCATGGAGCGCCCACAGCCATCACACAGCCATGCATTTTGGTATGCACGGGGCTCCCCAAATGAGTGCATGCAGCCCCTCTGCACTGTGTGTTCGGAGGGCAGCGAGACAGCAGTGAGAGCCCCAAATGAGTAAGCCTGGCCTGAGGTTTTCTCTGTATTACGCACAGCAGCCCTCACACTCCGACGGGCTTTAACAGGGGATGGCACTGTGGCTCCCAGCCCTCGTTCTGGGATCCTACCTCATGGCTGTCACCCTTCAGCCCCCAAGCACACAGGCAGCCATAGGAGGGGTATGATGCTGCAGGACGCAAGCATGAGCTGGTACAAGCTGCCAGCCTTGTGCCATGGGTGTTTGCTGCTGACAGATGCTTCGCTTTCTCCCTCAACTGCTGCTTTCAGAGGTCCTTAAGTGAAATACAAACAGCTCTGCTAGGTTCTGGGGAGGGTTCTAAGGACATAAGAACACAGCAGGCTGTCAGGGCAGGTTCTGGGGCCTGCAGGGGCAGCTAGGAGGGAAGGGAGCAGCCACCTGAGTTTGCTTACAGGAGCACCTCTGGGAAAGCCTGCACTGAGGTTGCTTTGTGTTGGGGTTTGCCATATCCATCAGACCAAGAGAGATGAGGGTGCTGCAGCACTGACATTCTAGCATTGGCACTGAGCACGCACACAGATGCTGTATGTGCATGTATAAATGTAGTTTGTGTATACATGCAATTCATGTATATGTACACAGCCATGCAGCTCAGCACATGCACAATACCTAGTCACTTGCAAACAGCACAAATGGCCTCACCCTATTCCCCTTGCTGACAAATCAGCATGAAAGCCCACAAGCAGAATATATATATATATATATATATCTGTGCAATATAGATTCCTCCAGCCACTGCTGTGCCACACACAGTGTGTGCAGCCTATCCCCTGACTCCCACACCACTTACCACAGTCACCAGCCGGCCTGGCTTGCTGTGTGCTAGCACTTGCACACACCATCATGCATCCTGCAGTTCCTGCAGCTGCTAGGGTTCGATGCTCCCTCTGTGTACTGCTGCTTCCGCTTCCTTACATGCTCTATGCTTTGAACAGAGCTCCTCACCTGGGAGACAGCTATAAAGAGAGCTCAGTCAGAAGACATGGCACAGCCAGAGCAGCACCCCAGTGCCCTTTTTGTCCTTTTTCCCTGTTTTTCCATGCTTGTTCCTCCCCAGACTGCACTGGTCCCTCCCTTTCTCCTTGTTCTTCCCACAGACATCCCACGATAATCCCTACACAATCCCCAAAGGCTCTTCTTGGCATACCATAGCAAGTCTGTGTGCCTTTGAGTAATCACGCCTTGTGTTTTCTGGACAGACAAGAGAGTGCTGCGCTCCTCGGGGCGGACGCAGGGGCCCTGGGGATATGTCAGAGTCTGATCCCAGCAGTACTCTGTTCTTCTCTGTCTGCTGCTTCTGGAACACACACACTGAACAATACATCCATTTTTTTTCAATAGCTGCAGCCTTCAGGATAGGCTCCTGCGCCAATACTGAGCGGAAAGACCGTTGAGTATTTTTACCATGAGACCACGGGAACGGTGAGTTATGACTCTGGCATTTCATGACAACTTTTTCTTGGTAAATTATCCCCTTCTTGTGTAGTGCTCAGGGATTCTGTGCTTTTTTTAAGTCCATGTGATATTTTTAGACATTCTTATAGTGCTCTAATTTTAGTAGCTTTTGCAACATATTACTCACTCTGCAAAAGGGAAGAGTTCACTCCCCTGAGTTCTTTCCCCTGCCAACACAAACTCTCCCACTAAGGCTGGAAGAGGAGAAGAGCCCACGTTGTCTTGTTTCATAGCATTTCCTTCCCTTTGCCCCTGCTGCCCGGAGCAGGGAAGGAGCTGCGTGTATTGTATTAACTGCTCTTTTATTAACAGCTGTCACAGCCACAAGAGCTGGGATGCGGTTGGGTCAGTGCAAAAAAAGCCAGATACACCAAGGTGATGCAGAACCCCTGACCTGTGGGCAGGCTGACCTGTGGGCAGGAGCTAGGAGCTGGTTCACGCCCATTGTGCCAAGCCAATAAGCACACAGAGTCAGAATCCCATAGAGGTCCTCTATTCTTAGCAACCTGTGGTGCAGAGGCACGTGGACGCATTTCCTTTGAGATTTGAGGAGGAAAAGCATTTGCTCATGCCTTAACTTGCTTCAACTTGTCTGACCTGGGTATAGCACTCAGCAAAGTCCCTGCAGGGTTTGCCCATGACCGGGCTGCTTCTCCACCTTCCCAGCCTGTGCCTGCAGCTGTGCCATCTCCTCCAAACTTTGCCCAATGGAACCATCGTCAGTGCTCCTTGCACTGGCCAGAGGAAGAGAAACCAGACTGCAGCTTCAGGAGGGGGAGGCCTGGCTGCCATGTCATGGGCATGGCTTGGAGCCAGCCCTGCCCTAGCCCTTTGCCCTGGCTTGCCCATCTGTTCAGGGCAGGAGCATCCCTCTGGGACAGGCACATGTTCTCCTTAGGGCAGCGCCAGTGACAACCACAGCGCAGGATGTCTCTCACTCACTGTCTCCCCATGACTCAACTAGGTCAACCAAAGGCAGGCGGCAGGCAAGCAAGGAGGCAGCTGTAGTGCAAGTGGGGCTTTCTCAGCTCTGATGGCTCTGGTTGATTTGGCATTTCTTCTGGCCCCAATTTGAAGATGGGAGTGATGGGAAGTCTGATCACACTTTGGTCTGCTCTTTCACACATCCTTAGGAGTTCCCTGTGTGACATATTTATGAACCATTATGAACCTGTGTGCCCAGCAGGCTGGTGCAGTGTCAGCATGCTGCAAGGGTTACCTCCAGCTGGTGTTCCCCTAGGTGGCATGGTGGAGTGTGGAAGTACCCATGAGAGGTCTTGTTGTGTTCCAGGTGCCATCACACCTCAGACAGCTCACACAGCACTTTACCAAGACATGGGCACAAAACACTCCCAGCCTTTTTTTGCTAATTCCCCTTCTTGTGTTTCTCCCAGCAGGAATGGCACCACAATAATAGTTATAATGGGTGAGTAGCATTTATGGTTATGCCTCATCAGTGACAACATTGCTGTCTAAAAAATCAGCGTAGGTCTGAATAGAGATGCTGGTTGATACCGGAAAATAAAGCCCCTGTGTTTTTATGGGACACCCACCCCTGGCTTTTGTGATGCATCAGCCCTGCTTGGCAGGCATTGCTTTCCTATGGTAACACTGGAGTGAGTGGGTCCATTTTAAACCCATTGTCCCCAAGGCATCAGGTCAGCAGGAGAGTTGGAACTGCTGCTTCTTGATCTGCTTTGCTTCCCAGTATTTTATATGTTGTTTGTTTGTTTGTTTGTTTTACTGCACTTATGCTGAGAAGCCAAAGTTTTTGTGGGGGGTGAGGGAAGGTAATTGGTGGTTGAACAAAAAAATTTTTAAAAATCCCAGAGAAGTTCAGCTGATAATGCAGAGGAGTCATCTGCGTAGTGCTAGGAGAGGGCGCAGTCATGTCTCTCCAGCCAGTGATATCATCAATACCACTATGACTTGTGCAGAATATAGGTTGGAACAAACAGAATTGCCGGTGTTGGCTGGAAACGTTCAGGTGCAGTGTGTGTCTGCAGGCAGCTGCATGGCCAAACAGCAGCCTCAGTCACACAACAGTCCCTGGTTGAGAGCTGAACTTGGGTGCTAAAACTCCCCTAGCATGTCCAGAGAGCCGTGGCACTTTCTGGCACTCCTCCAGCTACCATTTTATCCAGCGAATGAGCAGTTGAAGCAAACTTTGTCATTCCTAATCGCATCATCCACCTTTGGGAAGCCCTGGTCAAGGAAGGCAGGCAGGCTGCCTGCATCTTTTCACATCTCATATCCAGTCCTAGGCTGCTAAAGATTAGGATCCCATCCTCAGCTAGATACTGATGCAGAGATGTGATCTGGCCATGGGGGAGGCAGCCGAGTGATGAGGTTGGCTTTCAGTCTCACAGGCATGGGGAAGCTGCTGGAGGCACTTGCTGTCTGGGAAGCCAGCTCCTCTGCAGCAGGTGGCTGCAGCAAGGAATCGTGTAAGCTCCCAGGAGAGCAGCGTTGCTCGCTGGTGCTTATAGTTGTGGTTACTCAGCACTGTCACATGCCCTGGTTGGTACTGAATCCAAGAGAAATGAGTTTGTTTGTCTTGGGTTTCCTGTGGGTTCTTGCATTATGAATTCCTTTGAGTTACTGGATCTTGACTTTCTCTGAGACTAGTGCTCTCATTTACTGCACGCAAGGTCCAAGAGAGGATAAACTACAGGACATAATCACGGGGAGTAGCAGCAGTAGGATGGTGATGGCTCTGTCATACATCAACTTGATAAGGTCAGCCACATCGTCCTCATGGAGAGCAGCCAAGGTGCTCCAGGTGCAGCTGAGGTAACAGTTCCTTCCCTCACAGTCCCCATGCTCCTGAAAACAGCACTGTGTTCCCATACAAACTGTAATAATTTGGATGTTTTGAAAGGTCCTTGCCAGCGGTGAGGGACTCCAGACACACTTCTGTGTTGCAGTACTGCTTCCCGTTAGGCTTGCATGTGATTTTCTTTTCTTTAGTGCTTCACCAAGATTCTACTACCCCACTGCGAAGCACATCTCATCTGTGCAGCTGTCTTTGGGAAAAGGGCTATTAACCTCCTGTATTATTTAAAAAAAAAAAAATGGGATCTGCAAGCACAGTATCTGTAATGCACAGCACAGGGGTGTGAGATGGTGTTGTGGGTTCGAGCCTGTTCTCACCATTAACCTGTCTTCTCAGGTCTGTGCCAGCACTGGGGTATGCCCCCTGCCCTTGATGTCCCCAACCCTAACCCTGCCACTGCTACCAGCTTCACGCCTGTGACGCCAATGGTTGTGACAGCAGGAAAGATGATCTCCTCCAGTCATCTGGCCTGCAGCCACGTCATCTCTTCATCAGCCTTTGGGGAGTGCTTCCCACCCTGCACATGGCTGGAGGCCGGTGTCTCTGGCCAGGGGCTGCTGCCTTGGGTCTCTGCCCCCGGTGCTCTGACTCACCAAGATGAGTCTGAAACAAAGAGCTCTCGTAAAATCTACAGGAAGATGTATGCGAAGATAGAGATCTCATTTACCGAGACACCACCAACTCCTCACTGGAATCAGCAAATGAAAAAGTAGCACTCTTGTGCCCAGCAAAACCCCAGACCTGCTTACTGGGTAAACTCTGAGCCAGGTAGGAGTAGGGCACAGCAGAGACATGAAGCAGTGAGCTTCAGGCTAGCGATCCCAGGAGAGAATTGGATGTGAGATGAGGTACTTCAAAAACATCTGAAATGAGCAGAAAAACCACAGATAGGGACAGGGTGAAGATGTGGCTAAACTGCTGAGGAATTCCCCCCATGGAGTGCACCACGCATCACCGTTAGCTGCTGCCTCCCAGCCCCACACGGCCACCATGGAGCCAAGGGGAGGCTTGGGGGGATTTCTGCAGGGACTGGGGCAGCACATGGGGCAGCACATTGGGAAGCAGAGCCTCATGCAGCAACCCCAACTTACAGCTCCATTTCTCCAGACTGTAAATGAGACAGAGTACAGCACGCACTTGCTTCAGCCGCGCAGGGCAGGTGGCACTGCTATCATGCCCTGACATGCCTTAGACATGCCTCCATGCTCTGCTATCTGAAAGGGATCCTTAGCTTTCTTCCCTCCCTGGTTTCAGTTTTGAAAGCAGCAGCAGCTCCATACCACAGATGTGGCAGGAGATGCTCTTACAGTCCCCTCAGTGCCCGGGCGAGAGGTCAGCCTGGTCCACAACTTCAGCCCAAGGCAGAGGGCAGCGTGAGGCTGAGGGCACACTTCCAGAGGGACTGGATGGTTGTTTTGAGAAAACACTGGGAAAGGGCTCATTCCAGCCCCTGCTGCAGTGCAGGCTCTGAGGGGCATCCACTGTTTTTTTTCCTCTACAGTTGTCATTGTCGGAAACCATTAAGGAATGAGCCAGCAAAGGCCCGGAAAGATTCCACGAGTAATAATCTTGGAGCTTTGCCCAGGCTTAACAACAGAATAACAAACAACAACATGAACAAAGGGAGAGCAGGCTGTGCACCAAGAGGTCTCCAGTGGCAGCAGGATCTATGAAGTAAGTCCATTCTTTTGGTTGTTTTCTACATACTCCCATTTACTAGAAGCAAAAGTGGTGTTAGGAGACCATTTCTGAGACCGTGATGGACAGAGGGGTTGGGGTACCAGGAGCACACCCTTGTTGTAATGCCAGCAGAGGCACCCCTAGTGCCTTGCACTACCCATGGCTCTCTGGTGCTGCCCTTGTACCTCAGGGCCGATCTGGAGGTGCCTGCAGTGCTCACGGCCCTGCAGAGCTCAGCTGAGGCCGAGCCTGAATCCAGCCCCACAGGGCGCTGTGGGAGAAGGCATGGGCTCACACAGGGAGCTTCAGAAAAGGGAAACATCGTGTTATTCCACAGCACATGCAGAAGCACAGCTGTGGTTAAGCACCAGCTCTGAGGTATTGCTCATTTGCATCTTGTGCTACCTCAGGCGCTTTGATGTCTCACGTGAGGTTCTGGTGCCCGGGCTGCCTGGAGCTCCCGCACAGCCCAGCAGCATGGCTGTGTCTGTGCTGCCCTCCAGGCCACCTGTGTGGCTCTGTGCCCTGTTCCATCCCCATCCCTGCAGCAGCAAGTTGCACCAGCAGCAGCACGACACCCAACGGCTTCAGTACCGCTTCCCCACTGCCAGCAAGGGATCCAAGATCAGGTGGGTGCCTGTGTCCCCTCAGGCACAGGGAAGGATGCTCCTGCCTCAGCTTAGGCGTTTGTGTTACTGCTTTGTGTTACTGCTGTTCGGTGAAGCACACCCCCGTGCAATCCCTGCTAGATGCCACCTACCAGCCTCTACTGTCAGAAAAGGGCCACTCTCTCTCCAGAGCTTCTTGGTGCTCGCCCATCAGGTATGGGCTACTCAGACCTGGAGGAGCCAGAGAGCTCCTGTTCAATGACAGACAGTAGCACAGGAGGGAAGATAGCATTCTGTATGTGGCACACCATCTTGCTCTCTTCAAAAGCATGAATCCATCCACCAAGCCCCTGGAGGCTGGGACTGCCCCACTGGAGTTAGTCAGTCCACAGAACCACAGTAGGGATCAGCTGGGCTGAGCAACAGAACACAGTACATTCAGCATGACAGGGCTCTCTGTGTGTCTGTACTCATGCCTATACAAAGGTGTTTTCCTCTTCTGTTTTCTTCTAACCATGCGTGTCTTGAAGTCTAAAATAATAGGGACAGTTTGCATTATTGCCCGAGTGGAGTGAGGACAGCCCATACACGTACCTCTCTATGCTGTTTTTTTCTTGACAGCCTCAGGAAGACAGTATTAGGAACCTGCAGCACCCCACAATGCACAACCCTTCTTCCACACACAGGTGAAGAGGACTGCAATATTATCACCCACTCATTCTATGCCTTCTGCCTCTCCGATGCTTTGCTGTCTTCCTTTGGGAACAAGGATGCTGAAGATAGCAGGACTACACCAGCTGTTTTGGAAACAGGATGCTCTGCTTGAGCGTCAGCAGTGCTGCCTTTGCAGCAGGCAGGAGTGAAACTGAGAAACCCAAAGCAAAGGGATAATGCAGCTGCTGTGTGAACAGCTCCAGGATGCTGAGCTCAGCTGTAAGTGGGGGTGTGGGGACAGGCAGTGGCACATCCTTGCCCTTCAAATGCAGGCCAGGAAAGGGAACCATATCTCAGCAAGGCACCTCGCACAGGGACCAGGCTGCTCCCTGGGGCACTGCACTGCTGTGGGGCAGGAACAGGGCCAGCCACAGGAGGGATGCACACAGCTGCAACACAGAAGAAAACTAGAGGTGAGGTGCTGACAGAGGCAGCCCAGAAGAGGTGGAGGTGCCCAAGACTAGGCTGGATGGGGCCCTGGACAGCCTGATATGGTGGGAGCAGCCAGCTCATGGCAGGGGGTTGGAACAGGGTGAGCATTAAAGTCCCTTCTAACCAAAACCATTCTGCGATCCTATAAAAGCCTACTTAAGCCCAAAAGACTTGTATCTGAACATCAACCCTGTATGTTTTAAGTGGATGAGGATGGAGAGAAAGCTGGTGGGTGAGCATTAGTCTGAAACCAAAACTTAATCTGTGACACGCTTTAAAAACAAACAAATATGACAACTTGAAACAATCTTCTGGTGAATATTTTGGAGAAAGCGAGGGCAGAGGTAAATATAAAGCAGGCTGATCTGCCTTGTGATTTCTTTCTGGTGGGAAAATAGCATTTCTAATAAGAAATGAAAGTTTCAGTGGAAAACGTCTGAAATGTTGCTTTTCCCTAAAGCAACATGAGAGTATCTGCTACCATCAGCACTTCACACTGAGAAACAAGTCCATAGTTCACAGCAACACCTACTCCCTGCTGGCTTTGCTAAATGCTGGCTGGAAGATCCACTCCTGAGACAGACACCAAGCACCCTGGGAGACTGCTGTTGTCCAGCAGACAAATGGAAAGCCCTCAAGCAGGCTTATCTACCATCAGCTGCAGCAGGGTGAAGGTGCCGGGAAGACTCCTCAGACAGGGCCAAGCCAGCCACCATGTAGGATGCAACAGTACCTTACTGCATGGCACATGGCAGGAGGCATAAGGAAGAACAAGGAAAAAAGGCCACAGCTCATACTTGGATAGGAACATGGCTGCAGCACTCTAGAGCAAGGACTGAAGGTCATCGTAGGGCTGATAAAGGTTTTGGGTTGTTCCATGGCACAACCAGCAACCTTTCCTGTAGGCAAAGGTGGCCCAGCTCCCCTTCTCTTTCTGCTTATCGAAGTGGAGTTTCAGAAGTGGCATGTCATTGCACAGAAACAGATATCTGATTCCGGGCACTTTTAAATGCAACAAAGACATAGAAAAACCCACCAACAGGAAACTGGTTTCAGCAATTCAAATGGAAACAATGCTTTAATAATAGCTAGCCCTTTTATAACGTACAGCAGTCAAGGCAGTCACTGAGCTGACACTTGTCCTCTTCAGCGATGATCCCTGCAGCACCACTCAGACACCAGGCCAGAGGTGGCCAGGCGAGCCCTCGAGCACCTTCTGGCCAGCCAGCAAAGGAAAGGGCAGGGTGGAGGGCAATGCCTTCTAATTGTTTCAACATGCTGTACCCCTGCTGTTACAGGAAGGCCAGTGCTTCAACAAGAGACCCAGAGGCTCTTGTTGTACCACTGACACATAAACCCTTTTAGCTTACATGGCCCTCAGCTAGAACAAGCACAGGCCTCCAGCACTTCACATGAGCGTCTCAGTCTATGAGTGTGAAAACCCCATCAGCCAGATGCTATCTAGAGACAAATTCATTTCCCAGCAATAAATTAATCAAAATACTGTAAAAGAGAACTTCACTTGCATGAAGCATTTCTCAGTGAAAAGATTCTTACAGATAGATTCATACAGTTAAAACTCACTTCAGCCTGTTGTGAACTAGAAAAAAGGAAACCATCCAATTAGAACCTTTGACTGCAACCAAATTCAGTCCCAGGACTGCAGGTAAGTTACAGAGGCTGCTCAGGGGTGGCCAGCAGAAAGCTGCACCTTGCTTCTGACAAACAGCCTCACCTGGAGCACGAGGGATGCATAGACACACCACACAACTCCTCAAAAGATGCAAAGTCTTGAAGGAAACTCTCTTGCACTGCTCTCTCAACATGAACTAAGATCTCCTTGTGTCTCCCTACCATGGGACTGTGTTTGGACACAAGAGATGTGAGTTTCTTGCAACCTTCTTGCAGCTGTGCAAGTAAGGTGGGGATTACCAAGTAAACAACATTCCCTTGAGCCTGTGTTTGTCTCAAGGTTTGGTAAATATTGGCCTTCTCAGACAGGATGGGTGCATTTACCTGATCCAGCCCAGCTTCCCTGTCCCAGGAGGAGAGCAGAACCTTTTTTCAAACCCCAGTTTGGGGCTCCTGGGCATTCACAAATACAGTGATTTTTTTTTTTCCCCCCCCACAGATTAAAGGAAAACTAGACAGTGAGTATGATAAGAAGCTCTAGCCTGCGCTACAGTGAGAGATCCCTGATGCAAAGAAAGGTGCAGGACTGGAAAAAGCCTTCAGTGGTGAAGATGTCTGGAAAGCAGGACAGATTGCCAAAGATAAGTGAAAGCTTCCATTGTTAGTTTTTAGAATAACATCCATCAGGAAGAGCTTAGGTCAAGCTCAGCCTACATGGGTCTTGGCGCACAAATCTCCCACCCTATGAAACAGGGCTGACACTTTCCTTATTCAAGTTTTTTTTGTGCAGCAGGTGTCCCAGTTAACCTGCTTTCTGTAGTGTGGAACTGATGACTCAGCTCTTCAGAACAAGAGGCTCTGTCTGCAGAGCCTTCCTTCTAGCACATACAAACAAAAGAGAGCAGCACTTCTTTTGCTGTGCTTCACTGTGTTTTGGAACTCACTTGTGATGCTCTCAGAGGCTCCATGCTCCTTTCAGACCTGAAATCCTCACAGCTGCCACAAAGTTTCTAGCAAACAAACTCAGAGCTTTCATTTCACACCGGAAACAACAATTATGTGGGAAATCCCCCTCCCACACTCCAGAGTCCATACTTTGAGTAGCTAGAGCTCACCATATACAGCTATATAGGTTCAGTGTTGGTTTTAAGATCTACAATGTAAAAAGTCACTGGGGTAAACTTTTAAGATAAGCATACCAAGCCAGTTCAGATTGAGCCCTCAAATATAAAAATGGCAGCAGAGACCAGGGGACCAAAACAAGCCTTCATTCTCCTCCTCCCCCTACCCTCTTGCTCAACCTCACACTGCCCTACATCAGTAAATACAACCTACCAAGCGTAGAGCTGCTCTCATTCTGCCAGGCCCTGAGTTCTCTGCAGTTGCCTTTCCCAGCTTCTCCATTATCCTGAAGTGGTCTTCTCAGGATGGGAGCTGCTGCTATCTGTACAGACACTGTCTATGCCTAACATGACTTGCTATGCCTAAATCCAGTGCTCATCCCTTAAGAGGATGCAGGAGAACCACCTGCCCAGCTACTGCTGCAACTCTGGTCTAACACAAGCACTGGTTCATGAAATGAAGTTATAGGCAGGTAACCAAGAAACACAGTAGGGATACACATTCTCCTCAGTTAAGGGTGCAACAGCAAAGGAAATTGCATGGGAAAGGGAATAAAAATAACAGTTCTCTTTTTCCAATACTTTCCAAAGGAAAAGCAGAATGAAGAGGATCCATAAGCTTCCTCTTCCATTTTCTCCCAGAGGAAGCTTTTCCAATTCCACTATCCACATGGCACAAGAACAAAGAACCAAGTCATCTTTCAGCAGATACATGTATAGGTATGGTTAAAAACCCAGTGAATTAACTTCTAATATGAGAATGCTTAATATGCCTTCATAAGCCCATTCCCTTTGGCACCTAAAGAGCACAGAGATGACACAGGAGACAGTAATGCAGCTGAAACACCACATGCAGAGTCCATACCCTTCTACAACCTGACCTGAATGGCTCCTTGCAAAATTAAGATTGAATCTGCTATCCCATCTCAGGGATGGTGAAGCTGCTTGCTGGGATGTCTGAATCCTTAGCTGTACTGACAGGCACAGGGGCTGCTTCTTGCCCGAAGTCCAGGCAGCTCCTGCAATATTTGAACACTACCCTAAAATAGGATTAGACAAGGACTAGGGCTGAGGGGAAAACACTACCCCAGAACCCTGATTTTACTGTTTTAGTAACTGGTGAGAGATCCCATGACAGCTGGTGCTCATCTTTCATATTTTTGTGATGCAGAATAGTTCAGAAGACAGGCTACAAGAGATTTTTTCCATTTTACTTTGTTTTCTCATCTTCTAATCCAAAGTTTCCTCAACATGTCACACAACTGTTCATCTTCACGTCCTAACAGTCAACTGTTTCCACTTAAATGAATGGAAAGGACCACCTGCAAGAGAAGCTGGACAAGGCTCACGCAGGCTGAACTCAGAAGGGAAACTACCTCAGGGGGATGGCAAGGAGACAGTTATCACATTCAGAAATAGACACACACAATTTAAAACCAACTCTACACCCTCACATTTATTTCTCTTAAAAAAAAACAACAAACAAAAACAGAAGTCTGCAAACAAGTCTCATTCCTCCTTTCCAATTTAGTGGGGTTGCTGCAAGCACTCCATGGCACAAGACTCTTGGGAAGCAGAGAAAATGTACCACTTACATTACCTCAGTAGTATTTCCATAGGAAAAGCCGACTCCTAACTTACATCTTCCTTGAAGCACAAACATGGGATTTTAAGAAGCATCCCAGCACCAAGTCCAAGGAACAGCACAGCAGCCATCAGGGGCCCAACGTGGCTGCCAGGCTCTAGCAGAGTAGAAGGCCCTCCTTTGCTGCCAGGCGCTGGCGGTGGATCTTATCCTGCTGCAGCTCCTCGTGGTTTGGATGCCACAGTTTCATGACAATTCTCTCAATGTTTAGGGCGTAGACAGTGTGTGCAGGAATAACTTCCTTGTGTACCTAGAGGTGAGTTAGAAAGAAAGTTTCACGCTTTCATACTTACTTCCCCACACTGCCCATGGAAGAACCTGCAAGATGATCAGAGCCAGCCCTGCAGAGCAGGAACACACGCTGTCACACACAAGGAGAGCTGTAACCTGCCAGCACAGAACAGTCTGTTACAACACTTTGTAATGGAGTAGCAGGATAGAGAAATCTTGCTCCAAAAACACACAGAATACAGTTCTGCTTGGCCTAACACACAGCCCAGATGCTCAATTACAATTCTTAAAATCTGCCTCCACAGCCTTGAGGTAAAAACCTCAAGGCCTGCTCACAGCAGTAAAGAGCAAGGCAGGAGAAAAGGGATGGAATCTCTCACAGCTAGCTTCAAATTAGCCTGCTAGGCCCCAGCTCTGCCAAAGAGGGACCCACAAACAGGCATCTCTGGAGGAAAATTCACCCACAGTGCCTCTGATACCTCCCCAGGGCTGAGGCAATCATGCATAACCCACTGCAACAGCCAGCATGCACGATCCAGTATTCTTCTAAGCAGCCATGTGGAACACAGAGGAAAAAGGGACACTCCAGGCAGGTCACTCTGCTGCACTGCTGTCAAAAGGGGAAGCATTCTTTTGTAGAGATGGCAATTTCCTCATCAACTCTCTGACCAAGGGGGACAGAATGGGCATTAGACCATGAGTTGACTTTGTTACCCGATCCCTAATAGAGGGAGCAAGTCAAAGCCATATAAGTTTGAGAGAGAAATAAGGAAACTGACTGTGAGAGGATGAAATCAAACCCGTCTCTGTGCACATAAACCAAATCCAAGAGTGGCAGCTGATACTCAGGACAGCACTGCCCTGGTCACAAAGTGTGATACGAAGAGCTTACCTGTAACGCCTCAAAAAGGTCATACATGTTCACTGGAGGGAGGGATGCTGGCAAAGTATCTCCAGAGCACGCCAGCAGTAGCGCTGCCTGCTGCTCCGCATCATCAGGTGGGGGCTGAGGGGCTACGCTCTGACCAGCAGAAGGTGTCACACAGGCTGGAGGGCTGCAGACAGCAAGCAGTAAAACATTCCAGTCACGAAAGCAGCACCAGCTTTGGTAGTAACATAGCAGGGGCTCAGCCCCAGGGTTTGCTTTTCTGTATTTGTTAATATAGCCTTTGTGTATATGAAATTCTATACACTAAAGTCACTTAATAAATCTCAGTTTAATAAAAACAATGAAAACTAATCTTCAGCCTGCCTCAGACCTGTTTTGTACTCTATTGTGAGCTGGTAACCTTTGCTATTCACAACCAAGTTTCCACAAGGCACCCACAACATTCAATTGAGAGACATTAGCTATTAGGCAGAGTCGTTTGGAATGGATTCCATTTGTGGTACCATAACCAAACCTTAGAACACCCACGACCTCCTGTGCAATGCTAGAAGCTCTGTCATGGACAAACAACTGCCTCACCATACACACACACACTGCCTGACACAGAGCATATGCTGTTTGACACTGAGACTGCAAAACCAGATGAGCTTGAAGCTCTGCAAGTGGAAAGGCCTGCAGAACAACCATTAATACACGTGGACACAAGAAATGACAGACTGCAGCACCTCAAAGGTCCTCACCTGCATCTTAGCCTTCTGGTACAACAGCAGTGCTCAAACAGAGCTCTGCCCTACTGCTTTCATAGTGTGTGAAAGCTAAACACCACAGTTAGCAGATTCCACTCAGTCAGAAGAAAAACCAAACTGAGTAACTTCAGGACTAGCAAATTATATTTGAAGTTAACAGCATGCTGAAAGCTCCTTACCACTCAATTAAATTGTTGTAAGCAACAACACTGCTCTTCAGCCCAGAGGCCTCTTCCCTGACACCGGGAGAACTCCTGCGTCACTTGCTCCAAAAGATAATTAATAGCATTCAGAGGGCCAGGGATCACCTTGATAAACTGATAAGGTAGCTAGGAAGAGACTTAACATTGTCCTGAACTCTGTTGATGAAAAATCCCCACATTCTTCCTCCCTGTTCAGCATACAGCAAATGAAAGCTGAACACCATTAATAGATCCCATTCAGTGTGAATTAAAACTGAACAACAGAGTAACATCAAGACTAGCAAATTACATTTGAAACTAACAGTGTGCTGAAAGCTCCTTACCACTCAATTAAATTGTTATAAGCAACAACACTGTTCTTCAGATATGGCTGAGGATTGACATTGCTTCCAAAGGCATACTTGAAGTGGCCATCTCTCAGCCGATAGGCTTTTCGTCTGGATATCACAGATGTCAGAATGTCCTTAAGATGGTTCTGGAATTGAAAACATTCTTGTTAAGCATGCTGATTAACTCATCCTACCAAACTACAGCTCAGAGAAGTGCAGACTGACAAGTTCTGCCATAACCACAGGGACCTAAAGACAACACGTGGGCAGGCAGAGTGTTTTCACTTAACCACCTGATACAAGCTGGAAACAAAGAACGTGGCTCTGCATTTTAAAGCAGAGTTCACAGGCTAATATATGATGTGCTACTTCAAATGTCACAGAGTTTTCTTAAATACTAGGAAATTCCCAGCCCGATCCCTTTCAAGAGCTTTGATAGCTTGCACTCTATGTGCTCATACTGAAATATTGACTCTAGAACTACTAAGAAAAGCCATGCATTTTTTTCAAGCTGTTGATGTATCTGGAAGCTGCTGGAGAAACAGCTGTCTGGAACTGCTTCCTAGCATGACCTCACTCCCAGACAGGGAACTGAGGTTGGCATCTGACACCACAGCTTGGGGAAGCAATCCCCAGAGAGCTGACTAACAGCTGCACCCAGGGCCTGACTGGGAGACGCCTGGTAACAACGCTGCCAGCCAGCAGCTCCAGCAGGCAGTTCATGCAAGTACTGTCTGACTCTGCTACTTCCAGGCCAGATACCTTCACATGTAAGGGATTTATTTTAAACAAACTCCTTAAGAAGATGCCATTCTCTTTTCAATGGTGGGAACAGCATTTTCCAAACTAGCTGCTCAAGTGTACCTCGTGCTCTTTGTAAGCGAGCACCTCTCATACTTAACCCTCACAACCACAAATCCAATATGTTACCATCTGAGGGCACAAACCCCTCTGATTCCAACCTTACTCTTCCTGAGGCAGGTGGGCAATCAAAGCAGCACAACCCCTCTCAAGTGATGGGGGGCTGCGTGTGCCCCGTACTGCACACAGAGACTTTTGCTGCTGGTGTAATGGGAACCAGGGCTGCACAGCCCAGTCTCACCTCCACAGCATAAACCACAGCTGTCACCGCATCCTCTGTGACGTTGTCCAGCCCGTGCTCATACGCAGTTACAATCATCCTTCCTTCTAGCTGGCCACGCGTGGGAAGCATCATGGTATGGGAACACAGCTTCAGGTCATCATCCTCCTGAGGATCTTTAGCCACAAACTGCTGGGCTCCAGACAATGGATTCTGAGGCTGGAACCGGTGCTGCGATCAACACAATACATCAGAGCGTAAGATGATGTTAACTTGGTCAGGCTTCAGTTCACCTCGTGAAATATTGCTTCTCAAACTGAAGCACGAACAACCTGCAGATCATATAGTAGCAGGACAAAGGGAGCAGTACACCCACCGTCCTCAGGATACTCCTCTAAACTCTCAGTGAAATTTCTGGGCTAGGGTTGGTGTCCTTCCACTTCACTACCCATTCTGCAGCACTCTGCACTACCAATACCTCAGGTACCCACCACATTCCGCAGCAAGAAATTCTACACTTACTCTGTACTGCCCACCTGCTTGGCTCATTCCATTTTCCTGCGAGTCTCCAGTGTGGCCAGTCACAGTCCCTCTTACCTCTGTCCACATTGCAGACTCTACTGGACTTTCACATTTTTCAGTCACTTCCTTCTACACTGCAGAGTTCTCATCTACTTACTTCTTGTGCAGAAGTTCTTTGATATTAGCTAAAAAAATACACCCTATTGTCCACCAACCATACAGTTTCCTACCAAGGATCAACACAGTGATCCTAAGCTTGAGTAAGTGATTCTTACACGTCTTAAAAGAGTAAGGGTTTAAATACAACAGCTTCACCGCATTTCAGTTCCAGGTTTTATACTCTAACGTCCCCGTGCACTTCTGCTACCCTAAGCAGGGCTGGGTAACTGTGCAATCAGTTTGAGGAGACGACGGCTGATAAGATTATTTCAGAACTGAGGGAGTTACTTAGGGACAAAACATCACCGAACTTGAATTCACACCAGAAGGAAGCACGCTTCCTAACCCACCTGCTCCCGTGCTATTCCCAGGCCACACTTTGTGGTGGCTCTGTGGAACTCAGTCCCCAAGCAGAGGAGGAAAAAGAGAGGAACTGATGTCTGGGCCCAGACACACGCTTGGCCAATCCCCAAGCCACAAGGGAACACCACAAAGCTGGCTCACCAAGCACTCACAGGACACCTGCCCTCAGCTCCCCAGGACGTAAACCATGGAATAAACACTGCCACGAGGCTCTTACGAGGGATCATAACAAGGACATGCTTGACATATAAACAATGAATATACAGCAAAGTGGATTTCTCACATCTTGGTTTCAGGAAAGGAAGAGGGGCCTTCTTTATTCAAAG